ACAGGCCGGTACGCACTCTTATACACATTACACTTACACTTACAAACCTCGACGAAAACATAACCTAGTTTATGAAAAGTTCGTTAATATATTCTAATTATCATAATACATAGGTATTGATCCATTACGTAACTTATTACAAAACAAATAATGACCAGAATCCATACAAACAACTTATTGACAAAAGACGGCGAGAGTTAATTGACGTCACGTTTTGTTCCAATATTGAAATAAAAAAAAAACACTTTTCACTATAGACGTATATTATAGGAGCATATTTGTGTGTTTGAGCGTGTTCTGTTGGTTTTTGTATGCTTATAAATACCCATCCAACTAAGAAATAATATGTATATAGTTATTATCAAACGACATTCAAAAAGATAACTACAATTACTATATTATCTTTTTAATGAAATCCAAATTATCCTCTTTTTAATTACCTAGGTACCTACGCTATCTTTAATTACGTATCGTTACGTGAATTATTGTCATCAATATGGTTTTAATTTATCCGTCTCTGCCTAGCCCTTCGGAGAGGCAGTCATGAGTGTATATAACTATGTGCCAGGTGGGTAAATTCCGTAGACACAGAATATTGTTTCCGTTCAAATATTTGAACTAATAATATACGGTAAATGCAACACGATATCAATCGAATTTGCACATTGACACACTGTACAAAAAGGTGCGGTCATAGTTAAAAGTCCTAAAGTACCACACCCCGAATGAAGTAGGCGGACCTGCAGTTGGTGTTTAGTAATAGCTGGCTGTTGAGGCAGAGTGGGAATCGAACCTACGATGTATTCGTTCTGTGAGCAGATAATGTTGACCATTTTTTCTGTGTCTGGGTACTTTGGGGTCATGTTCTGCATTGTTTGGAGTCAGAAAGCCGTGTTTGAGGCGTTTTAGTTTCAACCACAGAAAAGTGAATAAACGATAAAAATGTTTATTCACTTTTTGTTTCACTTGTTCTTTGGCTTTAACGTAAAAGGCTGTCATATTCAGAAGGAATATTAAAAATTAACGCTGTTATAAAAATATAATAATTATTGAGACTATATCATACACCATTGAATTGCCTGACGTTTCGATCAGGTTGCAATATATTATATTATAACTAAAACGTATTATCTTTACATCTATTATATTCTTTAAACAAAGAACAGGCAAGCATACTAAACCACAAAGTTAATAAGCTTCAAATTAATTCTTTAGAGACAAAAACAAAAGATATTTGTAGCATGTCAACTTTAAACGAAAGTTGAAGTTATTAGTGTACAATAATAGTCTGTGACATAATTGCATAACAGTATCCGTGTATTTTGAATCACAAGTTTGGTCCGCGGCGATGCTTTCTCAACAATAATGCTTGAGTATTGTTCTCAAGAAATCGTATTGTTCTCATGGTATCACTGACGCAACAATTTAGGAGAGATTTGAAACAAGTAATACACATTCTCTCCTTTTTTGCAGCAGTTTAAATTAAGATGACTGTGATAGTAATCTTTACGACGCATGATTTAATATATTCATCCTTAAAAGCAGAAAAAGTTCAAAATAAGTAAGTTTCCGACATCAGTCGCACATATAAACAGACGTATTAGGAACGTTCTATAGTTATTAGAGTGGTGGGAGGCGCCGGCGCCGTGCGGCCTTGGTGAAAGTGTATGAGTACGGTTTCACCTCGGATCTCGGATCTCAGCACTGAGCCCAGCTGATCTCCCTGCGATATTGTCTCACGTAACCGACGATATCTCCATTTGAAGTTTAATCATCACCGATAATTTTTCGTTTAATGGCGAAGATCGAATATATTACGTTCTAATTGGGGTATCGAAGCAAATATTTATTTGTTTATAGAAAAAGACAAACAGTTACATATCACTGTAGAACCTTAGACCACATTAGCATTCCCTAGCTAAGCAAGTCTGTAAAGTAATCATATCTCGAGTAGAATGTTTATGATATATATATTGTGTTATTGAGGTGTAAACATTTATGACTGGTGAGTAAACATTTTAGAAGTGTTTCGTCTTGGTCCTTATCAAAGTAGACAGATCACTCTTCGCTAACATAGAAATGTTGACGAATAAGTTGAGACTTTAAATTAAAGAACCAATATTAAATTACATAAATTTTAAATAAGATAAAGCCAAGTTTGATGAAGATGTTAAGCGGGTGAAAAAAATCGATGAAGGTTATCATACCGCATAAGACCTGTGTAGTGGAAGTCTACACCCCTCTCGGAAAAAATTAAGCCCTCTGATATGCATTGGGACAGTTTAAAAATAAAAGTGACGTAATAAATTTAGATAAAAATAAACTTTGAAGCAAGGCTGTATATATCTTATCAAATTTTCTGAGTTTTTAACATATAGAAGATAAGTAGTAATTAGTTCAGAGTAGGAGAAAAAGTATTAGGTAAAACTATTAGCTGTTTTTTTTACAATTATGTTATTATTATTTCGTTAGCGATTAATTTGAGTCATTGGCCTTTGTGTTTTTTACAGTATAACAGTGTACAAACAATAAGCAATGAAATAAATTATACAAACATCATAACGGTTGATGTATATAAGCTAATTCTAGACTGGTGCTGCCGGGAAAAGCTAGTATAGATAAAGACAAATTTTCTTCTCCAAATTTCTGAAGGCTACAAAATTAATATATACCATCTCAAGTATTTAACATTGTCAGAATTATTGAGTTAAAGGCACGAATTTTTCCAGCTCGTATATTAAAATTTCATAAAGTTTCTCCTCTGTCTAGGGCTTATTCTTACATAAAGGCTTACTGCAAATATTAAGCACGGTCGTAGTAAATCTCTATTCTTCTAAAAGTTTGCACAGATTAAAAAACAGAGGTAAGCTGAGAATTATTTATGTAAATGACTATTTTGAGCAAGATATTTTGTGATGGAAAATTGTATAGGTACGTCAAAGAATAGGTGACAGCTTTCATAAATTAAAATAAACGCTTGTCGCTTGGGCTAGTTTTCTATATAAAAATAAGTTTTGGTCAATAGTTTAAATTTTAAAGTAAAAGGTAAATATATAATGAAACATAAGATTTAACACACGAATATTTGGGAGATCCTGGTACAGAGAAAAAGCTACTGACACACTTCGTTTCTGTTACCTTGTAAAATAGCTAAAATGCTATGTTTAGTGTCTTTATGAGATATGATTCGGATATAAAATTTCTTTAAAAGAATTGTAGTCTATGTTTTCTACACATGTTTAGCATTCTAGTTATTTAACGAAAGAAAAGTAGTCTCTCTTCTTGCTAAAGATTCAGATTCAGGTTCAGAAGGCAAACAAGCAGTCGAGTCACCTGATAGTACCACCGCAATTTCAGTACCTCCGCAAAGATAAGGAGAGGGAGAGGGTTTGGGCTTCGGTAACCTCACTCACTCAGTGAAAAGCAACGAAAGAACTTCTTTTTTTTTAAAAGACAAGTCCCGCATTTGGAATATATCCTGCGTCGCGGGAGACTTTACAAACTTACATGAAACGGACACAAAGAACACCCAGACGCAGAACTACAATTTGTGGATCACACAAAGTGTCGTCCCATGTGGGGATCGAATCCAACACTCAGCGCAGTAGTAAGCGGCGTGGCGACCGCTTAAACCACTACGCCATCCGTGCAGTCAGAACTGCTTAACAAGTGTTTCTTGTGAGGCCTTTCTGTCAGTCTGGTCGAGTTAGTCCCTATGTGCCAAAACATGACTCTCTCACGATAATAAATAGATCGTAATAGGTAAATAATAGGCCACTAATCAAAATTAATAGGCTGGTTAAGAATATTCTTCTCTGTCTATAGGACCATCATAGAATCACAAAACAGATGCTTCTTTTTCAAGTACTTTAGGGAAATCAGGTGTACTTAGGAAGGAAATCCTTGGTATCCCAACTACCCCGGGTCATCTACGTCTTGTAAATGACCCCGTCGTATGTGGGAACTAAAGGGCGCGCGCGCTCCACAGCTCGTTGCACTGCCAAACCGGCCTGTTTCTGCTAGGGTGACAGATGGCCTCACCTGTCACCCCCAGGCCTGCGCTTATGGAGGACTTGACTCGAGGCGCCTGAGTCATCTGCGGTACCTGGCCCGTTCCCGGGTCTGGGCTGTGGTAAGCGCCTACGCCGCCCGGTTCGCCGGCGACGAATTGGGTCCTAGTGGAGGTTGTCCTCCCGAGCCTCTCCGCCGCCTCCTTCTGCAAGCTGACGTCTTCGCAGAAGGATACGACCTCGGTGAAACATCTATCGGTGAAACATCAACACTACCGGCCATGGAGCATATTATGGTCGGTAGCGAGAGACCCCCGCCGATGACTGCAATGAGGACTCGACGCTGCAGCGACTAAACAGGGCAAATTGCCAGCGTGTGCTGAGCCGAGTCCCCACTGCAATCGTAGTGGTGACAGGCAGGTGCCATTGATTGGACGATCCCCGTGTACAGCCGCGTTGTCACGACGATGGCTCCACCCAAATTGGGCAAAAGTCACCCTAGAGGTTCTGCTCTCTGCGCCGACCAGCTTTGGAGCAAGACGGTGGATGTGCTCGTTGAAGAGCTACCTCCCGTCAAGAATCGGGCCCAGATACTTCATCTGTCTTCATCTGTAGATCACGATGGTGCCCATGGAACAAAAGAGCCTCCGTATTATCCAGAGCCATCCGAAAGCCCAGCGCCTAAATGCGCCCTACCACCTGAGAGATTCCACTGGTAACTAGGCGCGCGGCCTCTTGTACGCCCCCCGGGTTGTAACCAGCGTGTCGCCCGAACTTTAATAGTCCACCGCTGGACCTATGTCCAGCCGTGGACTATTAAAGTTTGTCGATAATACGTATTAATGTAATTATTTCGTATATACCTATAATGCTTAGATTTTTAGAGCACATGATACGTAATTATTAATTAGGTTGTAAGTAGTTTATGGAATGAAAAGTAAAAATAACGAATACAGATATTGCAAATGAATGAAAAATGTTTAGTTAGTAATGGTAAAAAAACCGAAGAACATAAAAGCATTGTAAGTGGAGCGGAAGAATTACGTAAAGGCAGCAGACCGAACCGAACTCAACACATATATTTATATACACCGTCTTTACAGATCCTACGATTAGACGGACAGTAGTTTACTACGTAATGTTTTGTAGAAATTACTAAGTAAATAAACATAAGAGTTCTCATTGCCTATTATTGTGTAGGTATGACTAACTGAGTAGGAAGCTGTTATGAATTTCCTCTATTTACATTAATTTAACTTAAGTGTTTTAATTGTGCGAATAACTCGCCTAGTAATATTATTTTGCTATAAATCCATATTGTACCTATTAAATACAAGCTGGTACTCGCGACTTCGTTCGCGTAGAATATGAAAAGCGCTTCCTTAGTGGGTTCGATTGCCGGACCGGGCAAAAATTTAAGGGTTTTCTGAGTGGAATAATAGCATAAGTTACTCCTTATATAGACAGCTACCTGGTAGTAAATATTATCAAAATCGGTCAAGGCGTTTAGAAGATTACGCGAACAAAGAGACAGACAGGCAGACAAAAAAAAAACTGGTTTTTAATCATACACATCATCACATCACACCGTTTATAAAGAAAAATGTTGCAGAAACGGGGCAAACCGCTTTGATTCTTGAACTATTACGAATATCACCCCAACATCTGGATTGTGTGCATGTAAAATAAAATGGTTGCAATACGACCATTAAAAAAATCTACGACTTTTTTTTTACATTCTCTCAAACTACAGCCAAAAATAAATTATTATTTTCTACTGACATTGGGTTCTGAATCAATATTACATTTTTTATACGGATTTCACTACAGGTTCAAAAAACTTGTTGCAAACATGTTGATAGTTTCTGTATCATATTGACTTGGCAGGATTTACCTACCTCAATTTCTGTGAGATATTGTTTTTTTCGTTGGATGCTGGCAGCACAGGACCGGTTGTTGTGGCGAACCTTGGGTGCGGCCTATGTCCAGCAGTGGACGTCTTCTGGCTGAAATGATAATGATTGTTTTTGTTGTCCAAGCTTATTGCTGTTATGTATACAAGTAACATTTGTCTATCCTGTCGTGTTGGTAACTGTGTCGTCAAACAATGGAGTACTATTTCTGCCTATTGTGGTTTTGCGAAAGCTAACACACTACTGCTACATGCGGTTTTAACGAAGGCGGTTTAACGCCGATTGAAGTTACATTTACTTTATCGAGCCAGATGTGATAACTTGTTTGGCTCTTACTTCCCAGCTTTCAGTTCTCATGTGATGACGAGGTCAACTTTCCAGCTCAGTGGTTTTAATTCCTGTAATCTTCTACCTTATAAGAGTAACGTAGTTTACGTTAGAACCTACATGCTTTCAAATACTGTGACTGATACGACCTTCAACCTCTTTCTCATAGGACGGCAACGCGCTTGTGACTCCAGGCGGCGGTAGTCATTTTCTATCAGGTGAGCCGCCTGCTCGCCCTCTTCCAAAAAAAAATTCTCCTAAACTCATGTTTAGTTTCTTTTTATAAAACCCTTAGTATCTGAAAACTAACTGTTGTTTTTGTGTTCAGGTGCAAGCGGTGGCGGGTGGCGGGTGACGGCGGTGTCGCGGCAGCGGAGCACGGTTCCGAGATGAGCGCGTTGAACGCGCTGAACCCACTGGTGCCGCCGCTGTCCGCCGCCGAAGCGCTTTCCACGCTACTATGGCAACCATACGAGTGTCGCTCACCGCCCCTCGCGCGCTCGCGCACCGATGGCGCGTTGGTACGTGCGCGCGGCGAGGGGGACGCGACCTGCGCGGCCCAGTCGCCGAGCGGCGGTCGTCATGCGCGCGCGTCGTTTTGCGCGATTATACCCCGCCACGAGATGCGGTTGCCCGTGCCGGCGCCCGGCCCGCTGCGTAAGTCGGACTCGGTCTCGGTGCGCGTTCCGGGCGAGCCGAGCCGACAGAACGTGTCCAGTGTGAACGTGAACATAGTGCAGGTGCAGGATGTGCCGCCTGGTGCTAATGTGAACAGTGCGGTGCAGACGGAAAGGGAACGGAGTGTGGCCACTGCAGAATGCCAGACAGAGGAGCCGGCGCGGCGGCGGCGAGTGAGACGCACTCGTGCGCCTCGCGTGCCAGAACTGGAGAACATTCCGCCACCGCCATACAGCACGTTGCCGCCAGCGCCGGCGATGCTGCCTCACCCAGTGCCGGTGCACCCTCCGCCTCCAGCTATAATGCCACCACCGCACCCGCCTACCCATCGGTTTCCCTTTCAGCCAATCCCTCTCAGGTACTATCACAACATAATTATGTATGGATGCCGCCTGTATGTTCGTATGTTCCGCGATAAGTTTTGAAGGACTGTATTGAAATCATCTGTATGTATATAAATACCAGAATTAACAACGTGGATCTCATCATGCCTTTTGTTTTTATTTAATAATGATGGAATCTGTTGGCCGTGGTATATCAAAGTGGGAGTGCGTTGAAGTCTTTTGTTAAGCTATAACTATTTTATGTAACACAAGTAATTACACAAGATGTGAAATGTGAATGGTGTAGATAATAGTGAATAGCTCTCACATGCATTGAAATTAAAGTATATGACCATAAACGACTGTTACATCAACACTTTGATAACTATGTTCTCATCGTAAAAACTCAAATGGCTAAAAAGAATGAGTTACATCTTCATTATGGCGACGTTTCTATTTTTACATCTGGACCTTATTTAGAAGTAGCGAACAGAAAGTTGTGACGAAAAGTGGAGCAAATGTCGGCGATAGCCTTGGAAATGAAAGCTGCGAACACTTTTCTATTCAATACGTTGTAAACAAATTAAGGACATTATTCTGCACTACTTTTAAAGAAATAAACAAAGCCGGTTGCTTTCGTGAATTATGTATGAAAAATATATTAAATAAAAACAATTTAACTGATCGCTCAAGGAATTTCTATTTTCCCGCTTGTGTGTGGCACTTATCATCCACTTTAAAAATTTCATTAAAACCAAAGAAAACTTTCAAAAGTAATGTTAACATTAATACATAAGACACAAAACTTTAAACAACACTCGTCTTTTATAAAAACAAAAAAGTAATTGTCCTAAATTTTACTAAACAATTAAAATAGAATATCGACCCAACAAAACAAAGAATGACTTCTTACAATCGGTACGACGAGTCATAAACTTTCTAAGTCCTCATCATAGTTTACTTTGCCCACTTCCACCCACTATCGGTATACTCGTGATTGGATAAATGCAATACTAAAAGATAATGAGGATGTTGTGATAAATGTGTGTAAGTGATTTGTTCAGAAGTGTCATGCTTTAGGTGGTAAATTTATTTCTTGCGTCTCATCTTGCTCTACTCTTCTCTACTCCACGCTACTCATCTTGCAACACAACAAATAAATTAATAAATGAGTAATAAATAATAATGCGAATTATAAAATTGATGAGTTGAATCTTTTTCAAAAAAATAATCTCGAATAAATAAAAAATAACACAGTTTTTTAACGTCTAGGCACATGCAAGCGTGTAAAAGACGTTTTAATCGTACTCAAAAGTAAAGTTTATAAACTTAAATGTTTCTTTGTGTGAATGTTTTATGTGTGTTATATGTTTCGATATACCAATTACCCATGCCAATTACTTTTATTTTAATTGAATTCTAATTGCTTTCTGAAAATGCCACCGTTAACAGTAGAAAATTAATATTGAGGAATACAGCCTTATACTTCATTATGATTTAGACACATTAAAGACGGTTATATAAATTTTGTTCTTAAATGTTATTTATACTCTTTAGCCAGTTTAGTTTGATAATCCTAAACAGTTTCAACCAATAACGTTTTTCTGATGTTATTTTGTTATTATAAATATTTTTTAAATCGGTGTGGTATAGTTAACTATTCTAAAATTTATAAAATGAAAGTTACTGTAATATGTGTAGGTATATATTGTACACATTACTAAAATCGTCATCGTCAAAATAGTCCACTGCTTGGCATAGGCCTCTCCTGAGAAAGGAGGATTTGGCCTACTACATTACTAAAATAACATACACTAATAAGAATATCCATCATTGTGTATATATTCGTCACGCATTAGACGTACGTACGTTGTTTTTTGAAATTGTTTTGGTCATGCAACGCTTTGTAATGGCTGCTAAGTAGAGTGGCCTCGTTATGTAAGATTGTTTATACATAAACAAGGTCGTTAGTGTCTTATTTGTCAGTACAGTTTTGAAGAATTGCTAATTATAAATTAATAACTAAGAACGAGATATTATATAGATTTTTTTACAGACTTTAACACGTGTAACTCGTCATTTTGTATAATATTATGTTTTGTCGTGGGTATGCCAAGTAAAACTATTGTCTATAATGATATGATAAGATACTGAGGCCTCATTTTAGACACAAAATTAACATGGAAACACCATATTGCACATATTAAATCCAAAATATTTCCTGTTATTGGTGCACTACGTTAAATGTCCTTTTGCGTCCTTAATAAGGCTCGAGTAATGATATTAATATCGATTAATTCAAGTCCTGCAAAGTAAAGCAATAAAAACACTATAACTACGACTACCTAATACCAACACTTAAAATCTACAAAGATACCAAAATCCTAACAATTAAACAACTATAAATACTTAAAACTTGTATACTAATACATAAAACTATAACATAATTTACACATTCACGATTAAGCTTTACAGAAAAAACTGATACATAAAACGCAAGGAAACGAAAAAAACTAGAAGTAATAAACCCTAGAACCGACTATGGTAAGAAAAATATATTATATGGAGGTGTAAAACTTTATAATTAAATACCTGATGATATAGTTATATCATCAGCTATCATTTCTAGTAAGAAGTGATAGCTTGTGTAAGTTGAAAAGAAGTTTAGGAGATAACATTAGCTAAAAGTACTGACACGAATAAAATTATCTTCATATTTTTAGTTTGATATAGTGTATTGTCATCACAGAGATACTCGTACTTAACTAATTTATTTTGTGTTATTATTATTTTCTCATTATGTACTGTACATTATGTACATTAGTGAACTGTATTGTTCTTCTGTGGAATAAATACCTTTAAACCGATTATAGAGCTGAAGAGTTTCTTTGTTAAATCTCAGGGACTACTGGTTCGAATTGAAAAAATATTTTAGTGTTAAATAGCCCTTGTATCGAGAAAGGCTATAAAACATCACGCTACAACCAATAGGAGTCGAGTATCAATGAAAAATGATGCAAAAATGGGGCATATTTATTCCTTTTGAGAGACGCAGCGAAGTTGTTTGGGTCAGCTAGTGTACATATATGAATATGACATAGTGTACATACATTTATGAGCAATGGCTAACGGGCTAACGCTAGGTTAAAAGTGGCGTCTCTCTTTTCTTATTGCAAAATTAGTAGGTGGTCAAATAGCAATAAATAGTAAACAAATAGGAGTGAAAAATCTCTTAACAATTGAAACGAAACAAAACAAGTCGGAAAGAAGAATACGCGTAGTAATATTTTAAGTAATGTATACAAATACTTCCAAATTGTTTAACAGTATTTAATTGTTATTGTTATACGTGATTCAAGTGCATGTTTAATGATCCAACCTTTTATTTATGTGTTAGGAGTTAGGACTAATTCATTAGTTAAAATTATAATTATTATTTTCTTCTTTATCGTTCTAACCCACTTTTGTTTTACATGTAAAATAATAACATTGTTTCATTAAATATACATTTCATGTAAAAAGTTGGTAATAAACAGTGTGTAGGTACATTTCCATGGCTAAGGAAATGAGGGCAGATATAATATTTCACTCATTAGCATGAGGAAGGAAAAGGAAAAAAGCTGGCTGTTATTTTATCGAGTTAGAAGTTGTAGTGTTGTGGTCACAGAAAACAGGTTTTGAGGCAGGCACATGGTGGAAAGTGGATATAGAGGCTAAGCTACGTTATCTTGAATCGTGTTAAACGACTTCGCTAGAGTTGTCTATGGTACAAATATTTCATTTCTTTTTTTAATACGCAATCTTATTGATATGTCTCGTAAAGTCGGTGCAAATACGTTGCATTTGCATCTATCATAGTTTATATATACTGAAAGTAACAAAGCCTAATTGCTATTTTAGTTGGCTTTAATGTCGTACCTACCTACCCTCAAATGTGTACACTTAGTACAGAGTTAAAAGAGTTTATATTTTCAACCCTATACCAACCCGTCTGGCCAGCGTGGTATAGTAGGCCAAAACCTCCTTTCTAAGGAGAGGCCTATGTCCAGCAGTGGACTATTAAGGGCTGTTGATGTGATGTGATGTGATATTTTCATGGATAACAAAATTGCAAAAGTTTAGTGATTTTAAAAGAAATATAATACATTAACGAGACAACGGTTATTTAGTAGATTTGCATTAAATTTAGACCAAATAGCCAAACAAAAAAAAAATGTGAACGAAATTAGATTTTTAGTTAGTTGTGTCAAGTTAGTGGAAATAGAATAGATGTAATAAAATTATAATAAAAATAAAAAGATAAAAACACATTTCTAGACCACTAGCCAACTGACAAAGGACAATTCGTTCTCTCACAGTTTTCTTATAAACAAGAAACCGCAAATGTTAACATAACAAACATAAAAAGATTACGTAAAGAAAAATTTAGAAAAACACAAAAATACTCGTTCTGCAATTAAACTAAGCTAATACGTGGCATCCATTGGTTTAAGCACCGAAATAATTTGGTCAATTACACACATTCGGCCTAGTTAGGAGATATCACATTTTGAGCATGAATCGCATTGAACATCGACACTTTGAGCATTTTATTCTTAAGTAGTAAAATAATAGTATTAATACTTTATTGAATATATTCACTTTCAAGTACACTAAGTATGTGACTTTGATTTTTATTCACCGATATTGGAAAATAGTAATACAGTTACTTGTGTGTTTTAGAAATCAGTATTATAACGAGACGACGACGGTTGATACTAAATAAGTAAATATAAACAGTAGAAATTTAACAGAACAACATTCTCAAAGGATTTTTGTTTGTATTTGCATTTGATAGAGTGTAGGCGTCTGTTTACCCGAATGACAGTTTGCCTTTGGGTTTAGCCGTCTAAAATAGCACATCTAATGTAGTTGATGTGACTGTAGTAAAATTTTTTTAAGTAAGTTGTGTGTACACAACTTACTCTAAAATCTGTTTGTGAGTATGGGTTTAATTTACTTGAAAAGCTGCTTATACATTAAATTAACAAACAACACAATTGAAGGCAAAAGATTCTAGTTGTTTTTCTATTTAATTTTGTCGAACGAGCACAACGACAGTT